GTATTTTCCTATATGTAACACAACGCTATACTTCCCCAGATTTACTGAAGCTTTAAATGAACCCCTGGTAACATTGCACAGACTATGCTGGAATCAGAGTTGCTGAGAATCTGGCCCTTTCCTCCTATTGTACTTGGATGCAGGAATTCCTCTAAAAACATGCTGCACACAGAGCTGGCTGCCCACACACTTCACAGCAACAATTCGGAGAATGCAAGATACAATGACTGTAATTGTGCTGTAGCAGTTCCTTGGACAAACAAATACCACACGGTAATTTAAATCCTCTTGATTTACAGAGTAACTTGAATTTTGTCAGGGAGAGAGGTAAAATCCAGAAAGAAAAGAAAGTACTAGATAACTGCTGCGTTTTCAAAGATAAAAGCCCAACACCTACCAACACAGGCACTAGCTCGGAAATAACTATTACCTGTGAGTATTAAAACAATTAGCCAAATAAAAGACTCTGTTCCTTCCCCAGCTGCAAGCACAGCACCACTCTTACCAAGCATAACATGTAATGAATGTGTGACTGGGCTTGTCTCAATTTCAGCAAGTGAATAAAAAAGTATTTGCAGGCCAGATGTTGCAGGAGTGCAGCACCAGCACGGAGTCTGCTTCGCTGCAGCTTTAACGAGGCATTACTGAGATGCCATAGGTATGGCGTGACATGGAAGAAGTGTACGCAAGTGGAAGAGAAATTGATTTAGGGAGACATGAAGTTGCATAACATCAGTACTTTGCTACAGGACACTTATTAACTCTGAAAAGATGATAAAAAAAACAATAGATTAGCTTCTTGGCCCTGTAATGATTTGATTTTCATGCAACAAAAACATCTTTTTTTTTCTTTTCTATTCTCACGGGTTCCATTTCATAGCTGATACAAATTATTTAGGTACTTTTAGCTGCAAAACTTTCCTTCTTGCTTACGTGAGCATTCTTAGCGAGGATGGCAGAGAGGTATTACCCAACAGCACAAAGATATCTAGGCAAGGGGAGGCAGCAAAGACCTGGAATCACTGGGGAAAAGCAGCAGTGCCCCAAATCTAGCTCTCACTTTCCACGGTACACCATGGGAAAATAGTTTTAAATAGTTCCTCTGCACTCGCAACAGAGCACAAATCAGTCCTTGCACCACAGAGATGAAAACCACGTTCAGACTTGCTCTGCCTGGGTCCTGCTGCTGCTCCTGTATCACACCAGTTACACACCAGCATCGGGAGCCCGCACTGCATTTCCTACCAAATGCGTGCCTGGAGCACCTCTCCAGAACATACATGAGATCAGGCAGTGCGCTTCAAGCTGTGTGTCTGAGAGCAGGACCTACACAGTCTTTAGTTAAGAATCTGAGATGAAAAAACACTTTTCCAGACTAATAGAAATAAGGAATAATTTTTTTTTTTAAATCCTGCCCCCCTGCAGATGTCAAGCAGTCTGTTCCAATGGAATAGTTCTAATTTTTTTTTTTTTTTTTTAAATTCTGCCCCCCTGCAGAAGCCAAGCAGTCTGTTCCAACGGAATAGTCCTTTCACAATTATTTCCATTTCCTTCCTTTGTGCACTAAGAAAAAAAGCCCACTTTGACTGAAAACCACATGTTAACATAACTTCAATAGCAGGTCTTCAAAAGACCTGCTGTAGACTGGCCTTCATGTAATCCCCGTCAGAAGGCACACACTTCAGCTTGAATTAAAATTCAAACATCGCTGTCTTAAAATTATCCGAGCATCTCCCTCATTCTGGGATGACACACCATTTGTCTTCTGTCCTTTCTTAAATAGCTGCTATTGCCTACTCCCTAAAACAAGGTAATGTGTTAGCAGATTGTTAATCTGAGCATATATGGCAGCCACTGCTTCTTACAATGTCAAAAATTATTTAAAATGCCCAAAAAATTCTATGCTGGTGCCGGTTTCCAAGTGGTTCCCTGCTTCTTTACACTTTCTTTGGACAACCAAGTAGTAGCAGTACAAGTCCTTCGTGCCCTGCGCTTCTGGACAGATGGGACAAGCCTCATGGCTGTGGTGATAGCTGAACCACCGCACATAGGAGGCAGCCCTCACGCAGCGCCTGGGATGTGATTTGGGGTGGCAGTGAAGCCAACGGGACTGAATCTGGGTCTTTATGGCGTCGTGAAGACCCCACCTGAAACCAAGAGTGCTCTTAGCCTACCCATTACATACCAGGCTGCTCTGCAGGTGATGGGGGTGTTTCATAATGATTCCCTTCCCCTTTAGTATATATAAGCTTATAGGGAAGGTGAACCAAAGTTCATGTGATCCCTCTCTAGAGAGACACATCACTTGATAGACAGGGACATAACGAACGTGAGTTTGACCTATGCTGCTGGCCAGATCACACCCCCAATCACTGTGATTTTGAATGTTCTGGAAGAACAGGTACGCAGGGCTTTGACGCAGCCTTCATCGGGGGTGAAGTTCAAGCCAGGTCGGTGGAAGTGACTCACCTGGTCTTTTTGCTGTGCCAAGTGCATCTAGGTGACTTCATTTCTGCCCATGAAAACCCAGAGCAAAGGAGTTCTGCAGCCTCAGACTTGCACCGTGCAGTACTGCCTTAAGTATGCACTTAAGTGCCTTCTTACGGCAAAGCAATTCATCAAGTTTTGATTAATTAGGGCCTCCAACTTGACCCATTTTCTTCTCCACTGTGTGAGCGGACCAGACAGTGACTCTGGCACTTCTTCACATGCACATTTCATTCCACGCTGCAGAGTCCTGCGGTGCAAACAGCTCCTCACTCAGCATGCAGGGAAACATACCAGGCATGCTAGCACAGGACACACAACATCACTCTGCAAATGCAAATCCAATAGCCCTTGACTTTATGGATTAGCAACAGAGAAAGCCTAAGTTACATAAAGAGGAAGATTCTTTAAATTGAAAATGTAAATGCACTTTCACCAAATGAAGAGCATTTATCTTGGCTGGAAATTTTGATTTAACTGAAAGTGCGTCCAATTCACTTATTCCATTATTTCAGAATAAAATATGAGAGAAGCAAAGGTTAATGAATCAAGGTAATGAATTATAACTGAGCCAGGAAAAAGCCTTCCAGCACCGAGACACCATCCCTAGCAACACTCTCATCCTTTTCTTCCTCTTCTAGTTAAGCTCCTTGTCTTCGTGTCCTACACAAAGTCCAATTTAACACTCTTCTACGTACTGGTCCTATCTTCACCCTCTTTCATGTAGAACTTATCCTTGCATTAGCAGGGCCCTTCCAGAAGGCCGAAAATGTCTATTTATTATTTGTGCAAATATTTACTACTTCCTGAAATGCCACCATCAGCCTACCAATAGCATACAGTAAGAAACTGGCCAGGACGTACATTAACCAGCCGTTCCTCCACAAACACTCAGAGCTGCTTAACCACATGTCTGGGTCTGCAAGTGTAATGCCCAGGGGTGAGGCTGCTTTAGCTTAAGTACTCGCCACCTGTATTTCTGAAGCATGAATTCTCTTCCCCAGCTGCCAAGAAGGCTTTTACTGAAGTTGCAAGTGAGTCAAGGACTAACTCCAATAATTACGTGCTTGTATTATCTTATTAAGACTATTAACTCACAACTTAAATTCTTTACTTCTTGCACAAGCTGTTACTCACCAGTGAGACCTGAAGCAGTTCTGGTTCTGTATTCACTCAACAAGGTACCTTGTCTTGTGTTTTCTTTGTCTTGACAATTACCAAGAATTAATCCTACTCTTCAGGAAACTGCATACACTCCAGGGAAAGGTTTGGCTGTTTTAAATTTGCTGATTTCATATTGAGAATAAGCCCTTAAACAAATAATGAATTGGCTATAGGACATTGTTTTTAAACTCCAGTGTTTACAGTTAGGTGTAAGTCTCTGATCCACATGCCTGAATGAAGCTGTCTAGAGCTGGATGAGGTGCCAAAGGGTATTCCAGCAGCTCCTAATCCAAAGGTCATGCCTCTCATAGGGGACCCCATCTCTGCCAGCCCTGCATGGATGCTCCAAACACCTTATTTAGGGCTAAACACCCCTACCTTATTTAAGTCTTGATATAGTGCCTGCTAAATTTAATGAGTGTTTTCATTAGTCCCTGAGGATTTCTTACTACAGGTCCCAACATGTGGTCTCCTATCTTGTCTTATACTGAAGAGCAAAGGCCAGTGCAGACCATGTCACCCCACTGGGCAACTGGCAGAGAGAAGGCGGCAACATGGCTAAGGTAGAATGGAAAGCAAGCACTATGAATTTGGCCTTTAAGCTCTTAAATCAGTGCTGGGTGCTTCTAAAGATGGGGCGGCTAAAAGTACAATTCTGTATTGTTTGTATGTATGTGAGTAATGGAGCAAGGCACCATGAACAACCCTCAAGCTAAGAGCATGCTCATGAGAAAGGCTGAGCTGACCCCAGTAGGTGACTGTATCAAGACCCATAAACCTAACTTTAGGTACCTATTATTGATGGCTGATGGGTAATTTCAAACTGGAAATATGGGTTAAGCAGCAGGGGAAACTTAATCATTGAAGCAGCTTCCTAGATTGTGGTTCAACTTCTACCAACTTCCATGTTCATCTTCTATCAATCTGAATCTTGAGGTAAGCTTTAACTTCTGTGAAGCCAGTGTCTCCTAATGCTGTCTTGCTCTTCTTGAAGCCACCCTTTAAATCAAGAGCTGCTTGATTTCTAGAAAATACATTATAGCTGAACAGGGTGTTAAAATCAGGTGAAATACCACTATGATACAAGGCTCAGTGGTTCCTTCTGGTGTTCAAATCTGTGACTGCATGAAAATCTGGAAGGACAGCACAGGGTCCCAAGAGCACATGAAGAGAGAATGTGCTCATGGAGACATAAGAATCAGGTGTTCAGAGTAAGGATTTTCCTCTTTCTGGCTCCAAAATAACACATGGTGAGCAATAATATGTGGTAGAGAGAATAAACAGGGATCAGTAAGAGGAATTGTAATGAACTCTCTTTTTTTTTTCCCCCCCCTTGAATTTTACCAAAGGGTCAGAACATCAACATGGAAAATAGTGTTGATGTCAAGATAGAAACCAAGGGGGAAAGAAAGCCAATAAAGCAGAATCCACTGAGCAAAGCTGGGAAGAGAGTCTGCAGAGCTGTTGGGTACATCACTGGAGACATGAAGGAATTTGGAGCCTGGCTAAAAGGTAAAGCTACTTCATCATGACTAATTAGGGGATTCCAAAGAAGAATTACATCAAAGAAGTAATAACTAACTTCTCAGTAACGTGATTCAAGTTGAAACATTACAGAAACTACCTCTGCCCTGATTTATTTCCATTTTGTAGGAAAAAAATCAGCTATGTGCAGAGATCCAGATATTGCTTAAATCTTGAGGATGACTGAGGTGACATTTACCTCCAACATGCCACGTACAAGGCGCATTTAGTCCCACAGAACATAACCTGGGATGGTTACTCTGTGCTCTGCCATTCTTCATAACGCTCCCTGTCCTTTCAGCTGAGCAGTTTCTGTCAAGCCTAATGCCACTGTGAAGTTAAATTACACATAGGTAAGTGTGTTTGGTCCCCATAATAAATCAGCAACGGGATACACACACGATTTGCCATCTGAGGCACAGACATCATAAATTAGCCAGTTCATATGAAACTGGTCCAGGGTACTTTATAACAGGGGACTCTGGCAACCACACTGTTCATCTCAGTTTTCCAGCTGTAAGACTTCAGGATAGACCATAATAAATCCCAGTCAGGTTTTACAGTCTTGTTGATTTATTGCTTTAGTCGTGCTGCCAAGTTCAGGTGCCAAAACTCTTCCTGAGTTTCAAGAAAACCATCCCGAATAAGTATCATCTGTGCATTTTGGGTTTTTTTAATTATTATTTCATTTGATCTCTTCCAGATAAACCTCTCATGATCCAGTTTATTGACTGGGTGTTGCGTGGGATATCTCAGGTGATGTTTGTCAACAATCCCCTCAGTGGGCTTATCGTAGTGGCTGGTTTCCTGGTGCAGAACCCGTGGTGGACACTCACAGGCTGTTTAGGAACAGTTGTCTCAACTTTAACAGCACTTATTCTGGGTCAGGACAGGTAAGTTCATCCTTTTCCCCTTCAAAACCAGACCGTCACTTCAATGCTGACTTATGTGTTAAACAAGCGACATGGATGAAAAGCACGTATCCAGCCTTCGCTGGCTATGTATCTGGTCTGGTAGGACCAAACAGATCTTCCCACCAGCTGCATCTGATGCAAAGGTACACTGGATGTAACTGCAGAAGGGGTAGCTGGGGCTGAGAGGACACGGGACTCAAGCATGTAAAATTGAAGGTCGGCGCACGAGCCTTGGCAGGTCGTCATCACACAGAGTCACGACTGCATGGGGAGGGAGGGGGTGATGCGAGCAAAGCACCCGCCGGGGAGGAGATTTCAAGATGGTTGTTTCTTTCACACAGATCAGCCATTGCAGCAGGCCTGTACGGCTATAACGGGGTCTTGGTGGGATTGCTCATGGCCGTCTTCTCTGCTAAGGGAGACTACCACTGGTGGCTTCTGCTGCCTGTAGCACTGGTGTCCGTGACGTGGTAAGTCGGATGGCTCCTCTGCTTCTCATTCCAGTCCCAGTGTCCCCACACTGAGACTGAACTGTTATATTTTTAGGCACTATACAGACTACAATGGGAAAGAAACACAACTGGCACATATGTGCTACTAAATCTGTATCATTATTTGCACTTTTAACTCAAATGTAATCCCAAAACAAATAAAATACCCACATAATAACAAATAAACCCAATGGGGAAAAGGAAAATCGATGGCTGATCATACGTAATTCAATGCCCTAAATGTTAGCCATATTGCTGCGATGCGTCGATTCATTTTTGTCTCGAGAGGAACATTATTTTAACCATTCCCTACCACCATCAACCACAAGTGTTTCATCTATTTAAGCCACCATATAAAAATGTCATGAAAATTTATCTCTCCAGACACAGAAGCTGTTCAGTCGTCCCAAGAAGTGATGGTTGGTGCTAATGAAAACAAACAACTAGCAATACTTTACTCGTATATATGACACCATAATCTGCTAGGTATTTGGACAGCAAAAATTTTGAAAGCTGGTCTTTCGCCCCCAAATGTCTAGTTGGAGATTGCTAAACCACACATATCACCTGTCTGCCTGAAGTTCATGTAGTGTTATACTCACTTTAATAAGCACAACTTTGATGTCAGCCTTTACTTCTCATCCATAAGCTTGAACAAGGACACACAGCCACCTTTGCAGTTCACTCAGACCTGGCACAGGTGTCCTAAATTCAGTCCACTTCAAGTAAAAAAAACCTGAGACTGAGCTGTGGAATAACTCCATTAAATCACTGGGTCCTCCACATGAGCGGAGGATCTTGGCTCCTTCACGGTCACCAAATTCACCTCATGTATTGCATAATATGACAGGAATCTGTACATTGCTAACTGCCCTGGGAAGGGTAGGAAATTTACTGAGTGACCCTAGCATTGTGATTTTATCAGAAAGACTGAGGAAATTAAAGAGCTTCTAAAAAAAAAAAAACATAGAGTTAATTTCCTGCAGTTGTTGTTTTTGTTGTGGTTTTCTTTTTGCCTAGCTGACAAGCTCCTAGTGAGACCATTTTGTTCTTCTTTTAGCCCTGTTTTCACCAGCGCTTTAGGCTCTGTCTTCTGTAAGTGGGATCTGCCTGTTTTCACCTTGCCTTTCAACTTGGCCTTGACCCTCTACCTGGCTGCATCAGGTCCCCATAACTACTTCTTCCCTACAACTGTCATTCAGCCTGCAACAGCAACACCAAACATCACATGGACGGATGCTGAAATGCCAATGGTAGGATGCCCTAAAGATAACAGCCTTCTCCATTTACAAAAAAACCACTGTAGAACCATATTATCTTCCTTTATGGTACTGCATTATGGCCTATCAATACAAAATTGCATTTATAAGATAGCTATTATCCAAAACATAAAGGTTTACTCTAGGAATTGACATTTTCGATAGCTTGAAAATAAGAATCTTTTTGGCATTTGGCATCTTTTATTTACAGTTGGATCTAAATTATAATCTTCAAGGATTCTTCTCTAGAATCTAATTACCCATTACTGCGCATATACTGATCAGTGCCCCATAGATAAGGTTGTGCTGAGACTACCAGTTAACTCACGGGTTAATTTTAGTTTTCCATGTAGAGAGTGCTGTGTTTTTAAAATTGCATCTTTCTGATGGATGCATCTACTATGGAAGAATGGTTACAAACTTGGGTGCGGGCACATATTCACATATTTTTAGTTAATATTCAAGTGGGACCTTTAAAGCAAACAAACAAAAAAAATTATTCTCCTGCATAGCGTGGTAAACAACATAGATACTAGAAGAATAGCTTTCCCCTAAGGCTCAGTGGACTATTTTGAAGGGTGCCCAGGGAGTAATTAAGAAAAGGAAGTTAATTGACACTAAATAGCAATCCACACGAGTGACATTTCTAAAAGAATGTTTACCATGGTGCATAATTTTATGGGGACCGTAAATGGACTGTTCCACGTGAAGGAACACAACATTTTGATGAAAAGTGTCTTAAAAACCATCTCTAAGCTGTAACTGGGTTGGGCTCTGTCCCACCAACCCAGCAACTCTCATTCATATTCCTAGTGAATCCCAGGGAAGTTTCAGGTCTATAAACACATCAGGGATGTAGCCTTACCTGAGTAAAGTCTTGTAATTCTGGCCAAGCCATTATTGGCCATTTCATCCTCAGATCTGCCCGCTCAGAGGCGAATACCTTCTCAAAGGCATCATCTACCCGAGCACCTCCATTTCCTAGATTCACTGTCATGCTCCATAACAGCATGCAAAAATGGCCAAGTCAGCAGCACCTGTAAAGATGATGAGCAAACCCTTCCAAGTCCTTTCACAAAAGACATTTACCTTTGATATTAGAGCAAAAACCCTGCACGGGAGCTCATGGCTAAGGAACAAGGCATGACTCATTTTCAGGGGAAACCCTGTGGAAACGGCCCTGCTGTCTCCCGAGAAGTTTTCAAACTTTCCACTTACAGTCCAGAAAGAGAGACTGCATCCAACAGATGCTGAACACGAATGTGGCCAAGAAAAATAAGTTTAAAAAA